TGGAGGACCAAGATGACAAATAGAAAAGTTGGAGGACTAAAATGTATAATATTGGTAAAACTAGCAACCCAATTTTAGTAGAAAAAAATCACCATTGGTGAAAATATTTTTTTTCTAGGGTAAAGAAACACAAATTTAGATGGGTAAGGATTCAATAAGAATTTTAAAAGTTTTAATTAATTTTATTGAAGATTTAATTGCAAGAAAAATTTATATTTGAAGTTAATTTGTAGCTTTAATTAGAAGAAATTAAAGTTTGGAGGTCAATTCGCAAATTTAAATAGTTGAATTGGTCAAATCAAGAGTTTAATTACATAAATATTAAAATTTGATGAAAAATTAAGGACTTGATTTGTCATAACCTAATTTTTTAGCAAACACAAATTGATTAAAAATGATGAAAAATAATGAAAATAATTTGAAATTCGAGTTAAGACAACACAAATTGAAAGTGTGAGAATCAATAAAGATGAAATTATAAATTTGAAAGTCAATGTGGTCAAAAAAATAGAAGAATTAAAAAGTTTGGAGACTTAATTAAACTTGAAATTAGTTTAATTATTGAAATTAGAGGTTTAATTGAAAATGAGACTTAATTAAACTTGAAATTAATTTAAATATTGAAATTAGAGGTTTAATTGAAAACGTATCAAAGTTTAGGGCTGATTTGGGTCAAAATTAAGAGAAATTAAAGTCTAAGGACCGAAGTGAATAGATGGTGATACTATAAGGAGGTTAATTGATTTTTATAGGGGTAATTTTAAAAGAATTAAAAGTTGAAAAGTGAATTAAAGACTAAAACTAAGCACGCGGAGCCTATTTTAGGCTATAAAGAGCATTTTTAAGTTTGTAAACATGCTGAGGAAAGCAAGGATCAATAAGGAATTTGCTCCATATAGACATGTTCCTACCAAATACCATGAAGAAAATCATTTTTAACACCAAATTGACAAAGAGGCCAACCATGAGTGATGGCTAGTGAAAGCACTACATGAATAATGGAAGCATTAACTATTAGACTAGTTAAGACTAGGGAGTTGAGTGTATCCTTTGGTAACAAGACAGGCCTTAAATCGGTCAATAAATTCGTCAGACTAATACTTTTTATTAAAAAAACCATTTGAAAACCACAATGTTTGTTTTGTGAGGCCGAGGAACAAGATCTCAGGTGCAATTTTCATGAAAAGCATTGGATTCTTCATCTATGACAGCAAGCCATGTAAGGTTTTTGGCAACAATCTTGAATTCATTGGGCTCAAATGTAGTGAGGAAGACATGTAAGAGACCGAAGACATGTTGATGTAGATAAGTGGGATAATATGGTTGGAAAATGTTTGTTTTAACTCGAGTGACCATCGAGTGGGAGGATAAAGCAATAAATTAGCCATGATGATGAACTTAAGCTTCAGAATGTAATGGACCTTATGCTGAAGGATCAGGGGCTTCAGAAGAAGTTGGAATTTGTTGTGTGGAAAACATTTGATTAATAGAAACTTGTAGAGGCTCAAAGAAAGAGTCAGAACAAAGATGACATACATGCGATTGAGACCGAAAAGGATCAAGTGGAGGAATTATAGGCAATGAGGCGATAAATAATGATGGGTTATAGGCATGCATAGGCTCACTAAAACTAGATAAAACTAAGAACGCAAGAGGTTGTAAGGTAGAGTTAGGTATTAAAGGGAAATTGAGTTCATCAAATTTAGCATGGTGCATGACATGGATATAGGAGGTAAGGGGGTCTAAATAATAAAAACTTTTATAAAAAGAATTATAGCCCAAGAATATATATGGAATGCTACGTGGATAGACTCTATAACCAAAAGGATGAAAATTGATGTAAAGAAGAGCTTTACCATGTAGAATCTTAAAGGGAGAAAGATCTCCAAGAAGTGGGGTAGGCAACCAATTGATGATATAATTCGTTGTAATAAAAAGGTCGACCCAGTAATAAATAGGTACTCTTGAATTAAATAAAAATACATTGCCCATTTCAGTCACATAGCGATGCTTGCTCAGCGCATTCATTTTGAAAATGAGTGTGGTGACAAGACTTTTGGTGTTGAATACCAAAGGAGTGGAGTTGAGATTGAAAACGGTTGCTACAAAACTTAGCATCACCATCACTTTGAAAAATTTTAATCTTTGTAAGAATATTGATTTTCTACAAAAGACTGATATTGAAGAAAAATATCAATAAAATCATATTTAAATTTCATGGGATAGAGTCATGTAAAACGAGAGTGATCATCGACAAATATAACGTAATATACAAAATCCATTTTTGATTTAATAGAAGTTGGGTCGCAGATGTTGCAGTGAATAAGACCTAAAACAGAGTTGGATCGAGTATTATTAGTAGAAAATAAAAGTTTATAACTTTAGCAATCTGACATGTAACATAAATAACAGGATTAAGCAAAATAAAAGGAATAAATGTCCTTTTTTATTTAATAAAAAAATAATAGAGTGCTTAACATGACCACGATGTGCATATAATAGATCATACAACGCTGTAAGGATATATTTATTTAGGAAAGAAATGAAAATAGCATTGCCTCACTTTAGTACATAAAGACCAACATTATATCTTCCGATTGTCACCACTGTTCTTGTGATCTTGTTCTGAATAATAAAAGAAGAGTTAGTAAATATAACCAAAATAAAAAGTCTTTAGTTAATTTATTAATGAACATAAAATTTTTGGTGAGATGTGTTGCCAATAAAACATCAAGCAATTTCAAATTTGAAGAGGGTTAAAAGGTACACGTACAGGTGTTCTAGCCCCATCAAGCAATTTCAAATTTGAAGAGGGTTGAAAGGTACACGTACAGGTGATAGGAAAAGGAGCCTCCTTTCCCACAATAACCTTATTCTTACTAATATGTTGCATAGAGGTGGTGAGTATAGTCTAATCCACTATCATGTGAAAACCATCAATGAAACCAATACAATTTTGGCATTGAAAAAAAGGAATAAGCTGACTTTTTCATAGCAAAATATTTGGGGTCAAAAGCTTAATAATAATCATATGAACCATGATATTAAAGAAGAGAGGCTTTGCCATGAGAAAGAAGAGGGGAAGATTTTTAGAATTTAACTTAGAAGAGCTCTAAAACCTTGGCATTGAAGAAGAGGAACGAGATGGCTTTTTCATAGCAAAATGTTTGTGGCCAAGAGGTTAGTAGTGATCATGTGAACCAAGATATTAAAGGAGAGGGGCTCTGCCATGAAGAAGAAGGGAGGAAGATTTTTAGAATTTAACCTAGAAGAGTTTTGATGCTATAACAATGTTTTGAAAAAACCACCATATTTTAAAATAGGGATTACGTTTTATTTATATAAATAATGTTTACAAGCATCAGTTAAAAAGGAGAGAATTATATTATAAATATAATAAATTATATTCCTATAATCATGAGCTAAGAATTAGGAGGGGATTACGGGGAATCCCCGACAATCGATCATAAGAAATACATCAAATTTGATCTAAATCACTATAAGTTAAAGTCAGAGAATAAAAAACTGTTTGCAGTGGTGTGTAAGGGAAAGGGGGAAGGTGGTGTCTTATATTATATATACCGTGAGAGAAAAATTAAACAAAGGAATACATCACCCTTGAAAAGCATAAATTATTAAATAAATAAATAAAATAGTATTGAAAAATGCAATCAAGATCTAGCTGCGACAAAGGAGACGACGTTTCCCTGTTTAACAATGAATTAAATTAAATCATAAGATCTGTTGACGTATAGTGAAATCTTTTACTAGCTACACCCCTCTAATTTTCTTTTGAAAATTGTTTTAATTAACACAGAATTAAAAACGTTCACATAAATAATTTATGGCTTGTCCATGCCTGTGGTCTTTTATTTTTCCTTCTTAAGTTGTATTTCCAAATTACCTGTCTTATGGTCTTTCTGTTTTGTTTCATTCCATAATGTTTCTTCCCATTAAAAAAAAAAAAAAAACAATGGTTACACGTTTTTTATGTTGGTTGTTATACTAATTAGAAATTGTCTAGAATGTTATTGAGGTTGTTTTAAAAAAAATTAAATTAAAATGTATTAAAATAATTTTTTTATTTTTAAAAATTATTTTTAAAATTAGTGCATCAAAATAATCTAAAATATAAAAAATTAATTTTTAATAAAAAATTAAAATTTTCAAAAATAAAAGTTGGCCAAGTTTTCAAATGCTCCCTTAATTATCTTAAAAAAAAATTACACTATAAATAAACTAAATATATATATATATATATATATATATATATATTAGTACATTAATTTTTTCAAAACAAGCAATTTCCGTACAAACTCAATCAATTATTTGATTATGTCTTGTTTGATTTTAACTTGTTGTCGGCGCACCAACTTCACTTTATGTCAATCAAGCACTCGTTTTTGTTCACGTAACTTTTTTCAATCGAGGCAGTTTCATCAATATTTTTCTTTTTTTTTAGTAAAGTTACTCTCCAAATTAATGTTATATTTAATAAATGAAAATATCCTCAATTAAAATAAATCATGTAAAAAGAAAGCTCTTTTAATTAATATCTGTACTATGGTTAAAAACTATTTTATGATTAATTAAAATAAATGAATAATTTACTAATTTAATTAAGATATTTATCATGTATTTGGTATGAAACTATTCGATTTACACAATCTCATGAAATGAGAAAAATTAAAATTCATGTATTTAATTGAGAAAGGCTAAAAGTTGGTATGTTATTGTTGTAGATTTCTTTGTGTTTTATATTTTAAAAGTGTTTTAAAAAAATTTAATTTTTTTTATTTTTTTACTTTATATTATTTTAATATGCTGATGTGAAGATTGATTTTTTTAAAATTTAAAAAATATTATTTTAATATATTTTTAAATAAAAAATTACTTTAAAAAATAATCTTCAAACTCCATCTAAATATATAAATATTAGTATATATAAGCGTAATTCCCCACGAGAAAAGTACCACTCAACGTAACGTATGACAGCAATATAATACTCCCATGGCCATGTGTGGTCTAATTAATTCATCTTCTATAAGAAAAGATAAAAGTTGCTCTCTGGGCACGTATTGCAGTTTAACCTAGCTACCTGCTACTAGATAAACTATTCCTGTTTGTGGTCGAGAATTCTCCAAGAGAGGATGAAGACTGAAATGGAATTGATATCTAGAAAGATAATAAAGCCATCTTCTCCAACCCTTGATCACCTTCGCCATTACCAACTCTCCTTTACCGATCAATTATGTCCACCAGTGTATAATTCCTTTGTTTTCTTCTATCCAGCAGATGATGCTGACACCAAATTCTACAACCTTGAGATTCTTGAACAGCTTCAGCAGTCCTTGTCCAATGTCTTAACTCACTTCTATCCGCTGGCCGGAAGCCTTAAAGACAATGTTTACGTAGATTGCAACGATGGGGGAGTCCCATTTCTGCAAGTACGAGTCAACTGTAAGCTTGTTCATGTACTTAGGAATCGAGAACCTGGTGAACTCAACAAATTTCTCCCATTTGAACTTGATGGGGACCACGAATTTCTCTCAGGCGTCCAATTCAACATCTTTGAATGTGGAGGAATCGGAATTGGTTTGTGCATCTCCCACAAGATATCAGATATCTTTTCTTTTTTGGTGTTTTTCAAAAGTTGGGCTGCCACTTTTCGTGGTGAACCTGACCAGCATCTTCCACATTTCGAATCAGCCACACTCTTCCCCGCCAGGAGTCTCTTTGGATATGACCCAAGAAATGCTATCGTTAAAACGAATGTTGTGGCGAAAAGATTTGTTTTCAGTAAGTCTTCCATAGAGGCACTTATAGCCAAATACTATAAAGCGACAGATTCAGAAAAACTGCAACGCCCATCTCCTATTGATGTCTTATCGGCTTTCCTATGGGGCCGAATCGTAGCTGCAACCATGGTAGAATGGAAAACAGATACAGCCCATGAACTAGTGCAATACATGAATCTGCGGTCAATCATGTGCCCGCCACGATCAGAATACTCCTTCGGAAACATCTCCTGGGTTGCCACAACAGTCCCATCTGTGGGTGAGGGTTGCAATCTAGTTAGTCAATTAAGAGAGTCGATTAAAAAAGTAGATAGTGAGTACGTGAAAACACTTCAAGGAGGGGGCACGTTGGGTTCGGTGGGAGAGCAAGTCCAAATAGTTGCGAGAGGGGAGGTGGTACGTTTCACCTTCACTAGCATATGCGGACTCCCTATATATGAAGCCGATTTTGGGTGGGGGAAGCCAATATGGGCTGATACTCCGAGCTTGACTTTCAAAAATCAGATTGTTTTTGCGGACACTGTATCTGGTGAAGGAATAGAGGCAAAGGTGCACTTAACCGAGGAAGACATGGTTAAATTCCAAGATGACAGGGAGTTGCTCGAATTAGTTGCTCCAACTGGATGCTAGCTAAAGACCTCATATCTATCATGTTCTGAATAAGTTAAATGTCATGTTTAGCACCAGAGCAAGTGATATGATACACACACTCACACACACACACACGTACCCAATGTGAATCCTATCTTAAGTGACTGCATGTACAACTTGAAGCTGAAAGCATATGCTCTGTCGTTTGATTCTTCATTGATTGTTGGCGAGTCCAATGTGTATTCGGACAGACTCTTTATTATTTTTTTGAATTTACAATTCCTCTGTACTGTAATTAACGCCTAAAGCCTAATCAAAGAACTTGCCCACGTGTATTCTTTTGTTTTTTCCGCCGTTTCCACAAAAATCCAATTTCCCTACATTTTTTTTCCTACTATCTGAAGCCACTTTTACTTTAAAAGACTAAAGACCAGCTTTGAAATACAAAAGCCTACCGAAAATGACAAAAGTAGCTTGATTCCTAGAAATGACCTATCGACAATTATAACATACTTTTTTTATTAAAAAAAGGTTTGTTATATTTAATTATTTTAAAATTTTAAAAAATTAATAGAGAAAAATTATTTATCCTATAAAATTATTGAGAATAAATAAGAAGCTGAGTTTTGTTCTAATTTTAATGAGTTTTGTGAAGATCATGGTATAAAAAGACTCTTAAGACCACCTAAATTCTTACAACAAAATAGTATGGTAGAAAAAAAAATAGATGTATTCTCAATATAACAAGAAGCATGCTTAAAATCAAGAAAATGCTTAAAATATTTGGGTTGAGGTTGTAAATTATGTTATCTACTTTTCAAATAAGTATTCTACTAAAGATTTGAATAGCATGACTCCACAAAAAATATGAAGTAGAAGAAAGCCAAGTGATTTTTACTTGAAAGTTTTTGGAAACATTGGTTTTATATATGTAGAAGATTAAGTAAAAACCAAACTAGATGACAAAAATAAAAGGATGATCTTTGTATGTTATGATCAAAAATCCAAAGGATATAATATTTATAATTATAATAAAAAAAAATGATGATTAGTAGAGATGTTGAGTTCAATAAAAAATAAATATAGAATTGAAAGGTAGATGATAGTAAAAAATATGACTTCCTATCAATTTTTGATGAAAATGAGAAAAGATATGAAAATGATCAAGAACCTAGATAATTAAAGACCAGCTTTGAAATACAAAAGTCTACCGAAAATGACAAAAGTAGCTTGATTCCTAGAAATAACCTGTCGACAATTATAACATTTTTTTTAAAAAAAAATATGTTATATTTAATTATTTTAAAAAGTTTAAGGAATTGGTTAAAAAAAACTATTTATTCTATAAAATTATTTAGGATAAATAAAAAGATAAATTTTGTTCTAATGATTTTAATGAGTTTTGCGAAGATCATGATATAAAAAAACTCTTAACAGCACCTAGATCCTTACAACAACAAAATAATATGGTAGAGAAAAAGAATAGAAGTATCCTCAACATAGCAAGAAGCATGCTTAAAATCAAGAAAATGCCTAAAACATTCTGGGTTAAAGCTGTAGGTTATGTTATTTATTTTTCAAATAGATGTTCTACTAAAGGTTTGAATAGCATGACTCCATAAAAAACATGAAGTAGAAGAAAGCCAAGTGATTTTTACTTGAAAGTTTTTGGGAACATTGGTTATGTACATATAGAAGATCAAGTAAAAACCAAACTAGATAACAAGAGCAAAAAAATGATATTTGTAGGTTATGATCAACAATCCAGAGGATACAATATTTACAATCATAATAAAGAAAGATGATGATTAGTAGAAATGTTGAGTTCAATGAAAAATGAGTATAGAATTGGAAGGTAGATGATAGTGAGAAATGAAATGAGTATAGAATTGGAAGGTAGATGATGGTGAGAAATGTGACTTCCTATTAATTTTTGATGAAAATGAGAAAAGATATAAAGATCATCAAGAACCTATAATTACACTTCCACAAACACTAGTGAGCGCAACTTCTCTTTTTTTTTTTCTTGTTCCAGTAAAAGCTCAAGTAGTGACACTCCATCAAGTCCACCAATAAAGATGAGGATACTTGATGATTTATATGAGGTAACTAATCTTATTGATAATGTAACATTATATTGTCACCTTGCTAAACGTGATCTTATAGTGTTTGATGAAGCAATAAAAAAAGCAAATTAGAGAATTTTGTAGAAGTGATGATTGCATCAGTTGAGAAAAATGACATATGAAAATTGATTCCTAGATTATAGGGAAAGAAACCAATAAGTGTTAAGTGAATTTACAAAAAAAAAAATATCAAAAAAGAAGTAAAAAGGTACAAGGCAAAGGTAATGGCAAAAAAACTATAGTCAAAAGTATGAGATTGATTATAATGAAATATTTATTCCAGTTACTAGATTAGAAACCATTCAATAAATCTTTTGCTATTATTGCCCAACATAGATAAATAATCTATAAAATAAATGTTAAATTAGCTTGATTTTCTTGAAAAGAAGATCTACATTAAGAAACTTATAGAATATAAAGTGAAAGGATATAAAGAAAAATAACTAAAATGACTTTTTATTCATATTGAATATTCATAAGCATATTAAGAAAGAAAATATGCATATTAAATACATATAAAATTATTTATAAAATAATTGTTAATATTGTCATAAGAAGCCCTAATATTATTTTAAAACTATGGCACAAACAAATAATTATTTAAATATCATTTTCAAAAAAATCTTTTTATAAAATGAGAAAACAATAAAAGAAATTAAAAGGCAAGCACGACTAGGCTTCAAAAAGATTTAAATAAGGAGAAATACACACACACACACAAGATATCCTCTCTTTTTGTTTATCAAAAGCATTGTTTTAAAAGGAAAAAAAGCTTATCATAATATTAAAAACAAATAAAAACAAAAGCATCATTTCAGTAATTTTTATCCAATTATATTAAAATTTTAAGAATAATAAATGTGAGAAAAAAGTATATGAAATTCTACAAAAAAAAAAATAACAAAAAAGACTTTTTATTCCCATTGAATATTCATATGCATATTAAAAAAAAGAAAAAGAAAATATACATATTAAATAAATATAGAATTATTCATAAAATAATTGTTAATATTTTCATAAGAAGCCCTAATAATATTTTAAAACTATGGCATAATCAAATAATTATTTAAATTTCATTTTGAAAAAATCTTTTTATAAAATGAGGAAAAAAAATAAGAGTCAAGCATGCCTAGGCTTCAAAAAGACTCAAATAAGGAGAAAAACAAATATATATCATACCTTCCCTTATTCATGACTTTTTTTTTGTTTAGTTTTTTTTATGTTTTTTTGACAAAAAGATATCAAGAAAAGTTATAGCAGTTAAAATTGATCTTCCTCATAAGAAATAAAAGATAGATACATATATAAGTATTTCATCTCTTGTCGCGTGGCACTCTTCAAATTTATTTTATTTAATTTTATGAAAATTAAAATGGTTATTCACAAGAAAGTCAATGATTTAAATTCTATAGAAAATATATAAATTTTAGACTAAACTCACTTTTCTAATTAATCAATGTTTTTACAAAACATTATTTTTTATTAGTAGCGTGGTTTCTTTAATAAAAACTAAAAACAATCTAAAAAATATTTTTAAAAAAATTCAAATGATTTAAAACAGGGAGTAAAAAAATATATCTCGTTAATAAATCAATCCCTTCCCTTATTCATGTATTTCCTTTTTTATATATATAAAAGCATGTTTTTTTTTTGTCAACAACAATGTTTTTTTTTTAAAAAAACTTATCATAATCTTAAAAAGATTGTTTTAAAAAATTTAAAAAATATGATTCAATAATTTTGATCCAAATATATAAAACAATTAAGAAAAATAAATGTGAGAAAATTATATAAAATTTTACAATAAAAAATAACAAAATATATTTTTTATTCACGTGCCTACTCATAATCATAGTTTAAAAAAAAACTAAGCATATTAGACACATATATAATTATTCTAAAAACAAGTATTAATATTATCATAAGAAGCCTAATATTATTTAAAAACTATGACATAATCATATAATTATTTAAATATTATTTTTTTAAATAAAATATTACTATAAAATGAATAAAACAATAAAAATTTAAAGGTCAAGTATTTCTAGACTTGAAGTGCAAGATAGCATGTCTAGCACACATGAAAAGTCTAGTTATGTTTGGGCTTGGAAGGCTAGAATAGCGAGATTGTTGTTTTTTTAAAAGGAGGATGATGCTTTTTAAAAAAACTAAACTAAACTAAACAAACAATGTGTATAATATTTTCTAGTCATCTTTTAGTGATGAAAAAATAGTGGTCTTAAGTTTTTGAATCCTAAAATCCAAATTTCAACCTTTTTAAGTAAAAATAATTATATCAACCTTTAAAATCCATTTTATTTTTACCATAAAATATATTTTTAATTAGGCTAAAACCTCTAAATTAAATCAAATTAAAAATTCTATCAAGTCTTGATCTACTTTTCCATGTATTATTGAAGATAAAAACCATTTTCATTGAGTTCTCATTTATAAACATCAAAATCATAGTTATTGGTGGTTACAATATGATCACCGAGAGTATTTTTTTATCTTTTTGTTACAATATGATCACCGAGAGTATTTTTTATCTTTTTTAGCAACCTTTTCTCTTCTGTTGTTAAGGACTTGAAATGCCAAATAAATAAAGTTTCTTGACTAAAATATAAAAGTTAAAAATATCAAATTTACAAAATATAAAACTCTAAAAACCAAATTAAATTTTTACATGCTTTTTGAATTGTGCATATGAGAAGAGGTTTTGTTTTAAATATGTTAGTTTTAATTCTTGTTTTCTTAATTTTTATATTTAGAACAAAATAAAATTTAATTTTTTAAAATTGATCTTTAATTTAATATTAGAATATTTAATGATATATTATGCTTGAGAGAATTTGAAAATCAAAATAGACCCCACCACATAGAACCTTGACAACATAACTTTTAATGATTACAGTAAAAAGAAATAAAGTTGGCCAAAATGTTTAGATAAAAAATTTTCATGGCCTAGGAAATAAAAAATTGGCTATAAATAGTAAAATGAGAGTGTAAACACACTAGATAATTAATAACATGCCAAAATCTTTATTTTTTTTATAAAATAATTCTAATATCAAGGATGAAATTAACTTTAAAAAATTTATCTCAACCCAATTTTTTATCTAGTTCATATTTAAATTAAATTGTGTAATAGATGTCCTAACATGATCTAGTCAACTTCGTCAATCCAAATATAACCTGATCGAATGATAAAA